GGCAGCTGGCCCCAAGTCAGAAAGCAGCTACCCTGTACTGAGCATTTGCCTTCCAGTCAGCACTGTGTTTTAGCCAAAGCCAAATGACAAAACTGGAACTGAAATGTGGCCAGTGCCTATAAGTAGCCCTTCTCCTGATGAAATAACAATGGTGTTTTGATGAGTAGAACAGCAGAGGGACATTTTGGAGGAAAACTTAATATAAAATGACAAATTTCTATGTTGGTGACAGAGGGGCTCAGGTATTATCCAAACATCATCTGAAATAGTGGCAAAAGAGAGGTAAATGGCTACAATGCAAGGTATGAATCCCGAATATCCAATCTCTTCTTACAGGTTTGTTCTATGACTGCACCAGTTTTACCAAGAACTATTGACTGGACCATTTTGCAGGGAACTATGTTCTTCTGGTTTCCCAAAAATGACCCAACAGCAATGTTGGTATTGAAACAAATGGTGTCTGATTCTGCTTGGCAGGGAGTGGGATATTATTCTTTACTGTTAAACTGTGGATGAAATGTAAATATTTTCACTGTGTCTAGTGCTTCTTCGATGCAGCTGTGCAATACTCCTCAGCTGAGCAATCTCCTGAGAGTGGTGTTTGCTCTTTGGTCCTTGGGACTTTTCAGGGTCATGGTGGCAGCATGCAGCTCTCCCTTATAGTGGGATTTTGATAAGGAATGCTTCCCTACTATAGCTCCAGAAATACAATGAATTAGACTGAGGTGTAAGTAATTTGTATTGATGCATTTCCAGCCCCAAGGCTGGGAGACCCCCTAATTCCCTGCTTTCTCCCTCTAGCAGAAAATGGGAGGAGTTCCCACAAAAGAAATGGGGAGAGAGCGCAGACTTGAAGGTAAGCCTGGCTCAGATGAGAAGATTAAAGGCAATTTGCTATTCACATTGAAATGACTTCGGAGCAATGTTCTATAAATATTAGATATTTCATCAGTTTATTTTTATCATATGTAAGCATATTCCTTCTCCTTCCTGAACATAAATGAACTGACTTAATCCTACTCTTTTTCATTTAATAGAATTATTATTCCTTTTGCATCTCCCCTGCTGCTTCATATCACTGCTGAGTATTTATTAAGAACTAGTAAAATTCATGGATTTTGCTGGCTTGCCAGGTACCGAAAAATACAGAAAGTGGGCAAAGGGCAATCTTTTGCGCTTACTCAACAGGGAATGCTATAACACACTATTAGATTATTTAAAGAAAAGTAGTAAAATTGTTGAAATGAAGCAACAATTTTCATATCTCATGACCCAATCTTGCAAAGGGCTGACGCGGCAGTTTGCAAAAAAACTGGGATGATAAGCAGGAAGACTGTGGCAGTTTCAGTGGCACAATATGACATTATGGGAAACACTCAGGACCAGGAAACACAATTTTTTAATATGTTTCATTCTGGGGATAAGTCTAATAATTTTTCTCTGAAATACAGAGTTTACACTGCAAATTGAAGAGCCTAGTCAAAATGCTCTCCTCAGTCTTCCCCATTCCCAACACCAATTTCCTTTTATTTTTTTCCCCCCATTTTTCTTTTTTCCTTATTTTTCTTGTTTTTCTATTTTCTTATGATTCCTCCAAAATCCTTCACTTTCTCCAGGGACCTAGTTTTTAAAACTGTTATCCAAAAGAGAAGATAAAGACCCTACTTCTCAAAAAAATCTGTACATTTAATTTGCATCTAAAAGATGTGGGCTCATGTTAACATGTTTGATATTTGCAAATTCAAAATGTACCTCACAAAACTTCTCCAAAAAGGAATTATATTAATTGTGCAGGGAAAATTCCCAGCTCATATTTCTAGTAAACATATCTTGCAAACCAGTATATTATTTTGATAATTTTGTTTTAATTTTATGACCACATCTTAATTATAATAAGTAACAACATATGTAAAACCTTTATCATGTTAAAAAAATAAATATTTTTTTCAAACACCCGAATATATGTAGGAGTCATCCAAATAGTGAAAAATGTCCAGGGAGACCTTCAGAAATAATTAAGAATGTTTTATTCAGGTGTTAGTAACATAAGTGAGCCAAAGGTGGAAATCACTCGTTCACCTCCCCTTGGTACTGAGATTACTCTCTCAAGCCTAGTCTCTGGCTCCATAAAAAAGCTATCTTTGTTTCTCGCAAAAATATTAAAGTGTCGCATCAGAAAAGATGACACCCACATAGATCACTTGAAAGATTTCTCATTGCTTCCAAAAATGCCAAGCTTCACTGCGTGCACTGGGATTGTCTTCTAAAGAGAAAGGCACCAGGTTCCTTCTTCTACCTGATTCCAGTAGAACTAAAGTTGCAAAAATGAACATAGAATAATTCAGGAGAAAGAACTGAGGAAAGATATTATTGTATCATTAAGAAATTATATCCCGCTGGCTCAGGAAAAAGCCTCCAAAATTGTAGAAATGACAAACACAGAGTGAAACTCTCTAATAATAGGATTTATGGCTCTATGTTTTATTTCATGTGGGTACTTCATGCTTAAACAAGTAAACTGGCATTTTGTGCCTTGAAGTGTCACTTTGCATCCATAATACAGGATTATTTAACGATTCCTGAATATATTCTTCGCCTTGTGTTTCTGTGCATGTACACATACATAAATAAAAATGTACATATACACTATACATATACATACTACATATGTATGCTTTATGCATAAACACACACACACGTATATATATATATCTCTGTCCATCCACAGATAGATATTTAAGTTCTTCCCAAACCTCATTTTGTGGAATGCACTGGGTATTCTTTATTTTTCTTACAAAGCCATTAGGATGTAGAAAGCCATGCAGAAGTTCAGCTGTCGTATAGAGCTTCATGTTTAAAATGGTGATCAGTCCCAAAAAGTAGGGAGAGTGTATGCATGCAAAAAGCATGTCTGAAAAATTAAAACTGATTCAGTGTCCTCATCACCTCCATCAATGATATATGGAAGGCAGTAGGATTTGTGGTCTGGTACCACTAAAGACTGATTCAAGAAAATTAACAATATAGGACCATGTTGTAAAATGTCTTGATTGACCACTCAGAGAAACTATAAGAACCACCCTGCTGATGGCCTGGGAAGACCTTGTAGATTTGCAGAACTCACAGAACATGGAAGGATGTTCAGAAATAGGGAACAATAACCCACATTACAGATTGGTTTAGCTTAGGGCAACTCGTAGTACAAAAGTTTATATGCATCTTCATTTAATGCAGAATACATGCTTTCAGCTCTGGATGGAAACTTTCAGGAACAACCTGAGTAGGATGAATGTGTAGGTCTGAGAAACTAGTTTTGTAAAGATCCTGAAAAAAAAAAAATTGTGGAGGAAAATAAGGTGAGGGAGTTGTGATGTGACCCTCATTTGTTCATCACCTGCTCAGGATATATAAAAATCTATAATGGGACATATGGATCTCAGTCTATGACTTTCTGGAAGAGTAGAGCCTGAGCACCTGTGAACTTCTCAGTCAGACTGGATCTATCTCATTAATTCAACCCATTCACACTATGGATGATTTGAGCTGGAGCAGCAGCTGAAATACTCTTTCACAAGGTAAAGAAAAAGGGTGCAGGTCATGGTTGTTGCTGTGCTTATGGTCCGTCTTGCTCTTCACCCTACTGAATAGTCACTGCCATAGGTGAGCTTAAGGAAAGCAAATAAATTGTCATTAAGCAGATTCTACTTAAATGAATAATCACATGGAGAAATATCACTGGAAGGAGGAAAAGGGGTATAAAAAATGTTTATGGCCAATTAAAAAGTGGAAACTTCATACAGAAAAGCAAGGATTCTGAATTTGATATACTCAGGGGACCCAAGGAAGAGACCCAGAGGTGAGGCAACAGGAAGTTGTGACAGTGAAATTTTGCCTGATCTGGAAGAGTAGGTGTCTGAGAGGCTAATAAGTCATCTCCAAGAGAGGAGAGAGAAAGTCTTGTCATTGACAGTGCTGGAGGTTAGAGGAGCAGAGATGATTTCAAGGGCAGCCTTGAAATTTCAGGTCTGGAGGTACTCAGTTTGATATGGGATGGCAGCCAATCCAAGGTGAAACATCCAAGAGAAGGAGCATGACCCTCAGAGCAGGCATGTGCAGCAGAAGTAGAAGTTAACTTGAGAATTGTTAATACGACCAAAGGGATGAATCTCCTCAGCCATAAGGAGAAGTCTAGAGGAAGATGACAGTCATAGACAAAGAACTTGCACTATTATTCGTAATTAGATATGTCTTTGCTTCTCATTTATCAACACCTCATTTACCCAATGTGCAGGTTCATAGGCAGTTAACAAAATGAGGAGCATCCTGGAGCACTAGTCTACAGAACAGAGTAGCAAATGTATGGTTTTACAGGGGAGACAGAAGCAGATAGTTTAAATGGCCTTCACTGTCCCGAACACTAGAAAAACTAGGCACTTCTCACTGTACAAGTTTAGAAGCTGACTGCAAACTTTCATGTAGACAGAAATACGACATCTGTATGTAGAAGCATACAGATGCATACAGCTTTTAGCTCTGCCAAAATCTTAACGCTGAAGGTACTCCTTTCCTGATTTTCTCAGGACTGATTCGTTAAAGCGCTGTCATTTTATTGTACTTCCTATTTCAACTAGGTATTTAATAGTAAACAATTCACCACATGATGTCTAGTGAATATTGAAGACTCATTTGTAACAAAATAAAGTAAAACTGCCTGTCTAAGTTTTACTTGGCTCTCCGCCAAGTCCCCAGATCCAACACAAAAAAAACTCCGGCAAAGAGCTAAGGAAAAAAACTATGAAAAATCAAAACTAGCCAAACTATATGAAAATAAATGTATTTATGTTATATACAGTTATATACAGTTGAAATACTATGTACACTCAATTCCAAAAGGGAAAGGGAAGGCGGGGGGGAGGAGAAAGGAACAAAACCAAAATAAAATATACACGATCAAAAAGTCAATATCTAGCAACTAAAAAATTAACAAAAGAATATCTTACTACTCTCCTTGGGACAGCACAATTGCACTGGACAACCGCTGGCACCTTCCACCTCCCAGGTTCCTACTAGGCCTCACTAGGCCCCACTCTCCCACACAGCAGAACCGACAGCAGGGAACTCGCGCCTCCAGAGCCACCAGAAGAGAAGGCGGCGAAGGTCTCTCCTCCCTTCTTCTTTATACCCTTGGCTTATGTAAAAATCATAGGGAATACTGGGTAATCTGGCCACTTCCTCGGTTACAAACTAGTCACCAAGGAAGGTCTAGACTAAAACTACCACACTGCCCAAAGTTAAAAAAGCAAATATGTAAAACAAACTTTTGCCTTTTTGAAATCAATTAGTTTTGAAACATCTCTTACACCAAAGCAAAGCAAAGCAGGAAAGCAAAGCAAACAAGGATGCTGGAGAGACAGAGGATGGAACCAGACCAAATAACAGATCACAAACCTGGGGAATCAACTAATATGCAAATAGTGGTAATCAACAAGGATAACAGGAAAAGTGTGATCAAAGCTAAACTCTTCTGATATGAATGACTCCTATGATATGCTGGAAGTGCATTAGCACCCTGTAACCACAATAAAAGAGCCAAACAAAGTAATTCAAATCAAAGAGTAGCACACAGAAAGAAAGAATACATAATAAAGTAACACGGGGTAAGCAGGTTCCACCTCTTGCCTACAATTAACTCAAGAAAGTGAAAAATGGTCTCACTGAGATGCATGATATTAAAGCAAAAATTAAGGAGGGAAAAAAACCCAAATCCAATAATGACAGGAAAAAAACAAACCAGCAGCCAAGATTCTGCATAAAAGAGCTGAAAACATTTGAAGAAACGAAAACACGATGAAACACAGCAAGCCTCTCAGGGCCCATGGAACTAATTAAGCTATGTTGCCTAGGGATCCTCTATATTCCTTATCTTCTCAGGTGGTAAACCCATCTCCCCTGGTTCCTGTGAATCCCACCTCCAGCATCTGTTATGTATCCCTTTCAGTATACACTGCTATGTCCGTGGTTTTATGGGAACTCTTATTGTCCTTCTATGTCACAGCCCCACAGTACCGTAACAATTCCCTGATAGTAGCCTTCCCCATTTGCCCACCCACCTTCCATGTCCCTTATGCCCTTCAATGACACCCTCTAGCATGTCCCACATTCCTGGCATCCCCACTTTGGATTCTCCTCACTCCCATGTGCCCTATGCTTTACCAAGTCATAGAACTGCAGAGATTGGAAGGACTTCTGGATGTTTGCTGCCTGCCCTTGTCCAAGCAGAGTCAAATAGAACAGGTTACTTGAGGCCATGGCCAGTTGGAGTTCCTCCAGGAACTCCACAGTCTCCCTGGACAACTTTTGTCAGTATTTGACAACCTTCATAGTAAAACAGCTTTTCTTATTTTTAAGTGGAATTAACCATGCAATAGCTTTGTTCTGTGACCCCCAATATATCCCCCAGTGTGACCAGCTCTGAGTCATACCACACTCACCTGCTCGGAGTACCCTTAACCTCAAATCTACATGTCTTGCCCCTGCATGCAGAGGTTGGCATCTCCCATGTCTTCTACCTGTGTGCTTTGCTTGCTGGCCAGGCAGAGGCTTTGCCCCTGGTCAGGATGTGATTGGCCATGCACATGAACAATTGGCAGCCTTTTGGTTGTTAGGTAAACCAAATATAACCACCAGGGCTGACCTCTCTCTGTTTACCCTGGTGATTGTCTTAATAAGGTCCTTTCCTCTATGCAATCATCACCAGAGATCTCTCTGACAAGTAATTGTGCCTTCACTTGGCTCAAAACAGGCAGCGGCTTCAAAAACTTTTGACAGGTGCTAACAAAGAAAGCCCAAACTTAAATGAGGATGTTTATTCCTTCCCATTGACAGCGCTTTTAGATTAGACTCTGAAGCTACTTTTATATTTCCAAAGGTGGAAGGAATTAGGCCGACAAATAACATAAGAACCTAGACATAGACTACACTGAGAATAAAGAGGTGAGACTGGAGACAGTCTTGTGACCCAAAGAGAAATTTCAGATGTTCATGATGGGTATTATTACTATCTCTCTTCTGTCAGCGAAACTATATGAGAGTCAATAATAAGATCATTTCTGTAAAAAAGGCAGCATACTTCAAAAATCTTAAACCACCCAGTGTATTCCATACAAATCACAGCTACTATGATCCCTGGGCATTGGTCTTTTTAACAAAGCTTTCAGGGAGCAATATGATATTTCAGCAAGGTAAAAAAAGGCCTGATGCCAAATTCACTTGATAAATCGGTGAATGGCACTGAACACACCTCAAGCTCAGAGACCATTTTTCTTTCTTCCAAGAAATCTGCAGAACAAGATTCATATAAAAATAGGTTGTAATAAAAAACAGATTGCCTGCAGAAAAGAGTAAAACTGTTCTAAAGTAGAATCTATGAATGGAATGAACTAATTTAGTAACACTGAAAAATATCACAGAGACCAGCTTCCAGCTGAGACAAGTTTAGTAAAGCACCTCCTGGCTTAATGTTTTGGCTCACCTGGTGGAAATGCATTGAGGGTCTCAGCTGGAGCCTCAGCTGTGCTAATGTGCAGGACATACATTGGAAGTCCAGATACCAGATGGGGGATTTTGCTTACTGCTTAAATTGGCTCTCACGGCTGTCCACCAGTTGGCAAGCACAAGAGCATTTTAGGTTTGTATTATGCTAAAAAGCACAACGGCAAAGGGGGGAAATGAAGAACATGACTAAAAAGATAACCCTATTCTCAAGCAAACATAGATATGATTGCTTTCTGTGTGATTATAGAAGTCTTGTATTTGCCATTGAAATCTGGTATGTAATGATTCTCATTTTAAAGACAATGTAAATAAAAAAATACCATTGTACATGCTACATGTATATACATATATAGATGGAATTTTAGCTGAAATACTGAAATCCAGGAATCACTATTGATATTTATGTGTTTTGGAATCTCAACTGTGAAAGCTACATACTGAGGTATGCCCTTTTTTGCTTTAGCATATTGAAGCTATTTCCAAAGCTACCTTTCATTGATTTGGGAGTCAGACATTTGACTGCCTTTGAGAAGCTTCAGTTTATTTTTAGCTTAAATTTTCTGCATGGCTGCACACATATTTTGCAAGGATAATGCTGTTTGGTCAGATGAAAACCATTGCACAGCCTATCTCCAGTTCAAGTTTCATTATTTGAAATACAGTCCTATGCTCACCTATCAAAACAGCTCCCAGACTTGAGCTAGGGACCTGAGCAACTCAGAGTGCAAATAGAGTCACTCCATGATATTACATGTACAAAAGTCAATTCAGTTGGCTGGTAAACTGACACTTTGGTCTACTAAGGCTACTAAGTCCAACCTCAGAGGTAGTACAGTATTTTCTATTGCATTTGTCACAATGTGGCAGAAAGTCCTCCAGCTCTACAATCTTTGGAGGCAAGACAGAATTTCACTAATGTGCGGGATTCTGAATCTCCCTTGGAGGACCTCATGGACACTTTTGGTCATGTCTCACACAGAAACTAAAACGATTTTGGTAATTCCAATCAGCATACGCACTCCTGTAGCTAAATGATGCATATGAAGTTGTTGTCAAAGTAGAAAACATAGTAATAAATTAGAAAAATATGCTACAATGGGAATATGTAAAAAATTACAGCTATTTTCACACCTTCCCATTTTACTATATCATTCAAATCACTGTACTTTGCTATCTTTACTATCTTTTGTTTACTCTTACCTGCTTATTACTTCACTGTCACTTTACTCTATAACTATCCTTTTCAACTCAAGCATCCCAGAAATTCATAATACATGTCAGGAGAATTTGGATCAGGATCCAATAGAGGTGACATCTTGATCCCTTTGTGACCATTGAAATAAGAATGATTAACGTCAGTGCCTGAGGCTACAGTGGCACGTGGATTGCAGGTGATTCCAAACCGGAACATCGTGCTCAAGATTTATAGACCTATCTAGGGACATCTATCTCATTTCCAGCTTTCAGCTTTTGGCTAAACAGAGATCTCTCATTCTTAAAACCAAGTTACGTTCCCAGAGAAAGGAAGGAATTTTTAATTTTTAAATTTAAGAGCTTTAATGCTCCTCTGAAATGGATTAAACCCTTAGCCTGTGGTAAAGAATACATAAAGCGGGTAAATTCGAGACAGAAACTAGCCATTTTCTATAAATTATATAAGAAAGTTATTCAAGACTAGTGTTTCAGCACAAGAACTCAAAAGAAAACTCTCTAAGAGAAATTAATAGCTTTTGCTGATAACTAGTTTTGATTTGTGAACCAAAAGCATAAAATAATGAGGCAAATAATCCTCAAGCAGAATAATTAAATTCCTATCAATTGTGACATAAGGACAGAACAGTCCTTTAAAGCTCTGGAGGTACCTTTATAAAGTAAAGATCATCTACAACTACAGTGTTTAGTTATTTGCAAAACTTCTCTATATTTTCTGTCTCCATAAAAATTGCTATTCTAAACTGATTTGCTTTTAGCATGGTTATTTTTCAAGCCTCAGAAGTAAATATTTTCATGTTTCATCATTCTTATGTGGCACTGAGCGCTTTGGTTATCTCATACAGTTTTGTATCCTGGGTTGGATTACCATCACGGCCATATCTGGTGTCTTTATGTCTGTGGTGATGTTCAAGTTTGTCTTTCTACTCAGTAAGCCATTGTGCAAAGGACACCACCACCACTGCATCTTGACTGAACAACCATGAGACCCGCCTCCTGCACAGCTGTCAGTGCAAGTAGCTCACAGTTCTGTGTCCTGAGGATTTCATGGTGATGATCAAGGACATGCTTTGAAAACGGAGCTGCTGGTGAGGGCATGTAGATGGTTCAAGCACAGATTTGGAGCTAAAACTGGTCCTCCATAATCTTGCTCTGATTTAGACAAATTGCACCCTTGAACCTTATCTCCAGTCTGGATCTACATGGCCATACAGATTAGGTTTGTGGTACACTTCATAATTCACAATTCACACAAGCTCTCTGTGAGTGTGGTGTAGCTTTCTTCCTTATCATACATCCAATATTTTCTCCAGAGAAAG